CTGGAGGCATGAGGTTGCCTTGAGCCTGGAAGGGTGGAGTCAAGTGAGCCGAGATTGGCAGCCAGCTGCATTCCAACATGGGCAACAGAGTGATACCTCTGTCTCAAATTAAAGGAAACGAAAAGACAAGAAAGAAGGGAAGAAAGACGAAAGAGAGAGAGCAAGAAGAAGAGGAAGGAAGGAAGGAAGGAAGGAAGGAAGGAAGGAAGGAAGGTCATTTCCACAGTTAACTGCTTAATGCTGATGCAGTTTCTGAAAACTTCACAAGTAGGCAGAATTCTAGAATATGGTGTCTTTTAGTTGGTTCCTGAAAGGATGGAAAGGACCCCAAAAAGTACTCTTGATTACAGGTTTCTGATAACTTTAGAATCATATCACTTTTACTGGGTAAGAAAATTCCCTGGAGCTTTTTTTTTTTGAGACGGAGTCTCACTCTGTCGCCCAGGCTGGAGTACAGTGGCGCGATCTTGGCTCACTGCAACACTGCAAGCTCCGCCTCCCCAATTCACACCATTCTCCTGCCTCAGCCTCCCGAGTAGAATAGCTGGGGCTTCCTGGAGCTTTAATGAAAAGACTGACTGGTTTATAAAACTGCTATTCCAAGTAAAACACAAATTAATTGAATACCAAGAAAATACTTTGCAAGCCTTTCATGGTAAATCAGCGAATACTGAAATTGTTTTGATATACAATTTGAATAAACTCTGTGGTCTAACTCAAATTACCTGTGATAACCCATCAGTTATCAGTGCTATGCACCTCAATTGGAGAAACAGCTGTGTTAAGCATGGACTCATGGAGAACCAAGGTGGCTGCTTTATCCTTCCTGAGCTTTTAAAGCTTTTATCATTTAAAGTTCTGCATTCCATCACTCATCATGGAAAAGATAAAATGATCCAAGTTAAATGCATATTGGTGTGGTGACTTCTATATTGCTAAAATAGTTTGTGACCAATGTTTGGTTTGCCAAATCTATATTCCTGGGAAGGCAATCAAAGCTTCAGGTACATTCTGCTACCCAGTGAGCCATCTAAACATTTATGAAGGGATTTCAGCCAATCATCATTTTCAATGCATATTTTCTGGTTGTGTAAAAGCTTTCCTATACAAGTGAACTGATGTTATAACAGTAGATTATTATGACACAGTGTATTTTCACCAGATAAAGAAAGCTTTTTATGGCTCACTGACTGAGGACAATCAATCCCTTCACAATCTAGAACCTGAAGATTGGATCTTCTGAGAACATCAGAGAAAGAGTGCCCCTGCCATCCACACTGCAGCAAACATCAGAACCGTGAACCTTGGGTTCATAATCTCTCAACTGAGAAGGATCCCTCCGCATTCTTGGAACTGCACACCCATCGAAACCCTTAAGGTAAAGCTAACCAGGGAAGTTTCTCCCCAGAAGAAGATGGTATCCTTGATGTGAAGAGCTTTTACCAAGATCACAGATCACGACTTCTCTGCTATAATGAGGCTCTTATCTTTGAGTATTTTTCCCCTTGCTTATGACTCTATGAACAATAGAAGTACAAAGGGGATCTGTTGTGTGCACTCATGGGGTAGGTATACTTTTATTTGTGAAGGGTTTTGCAGCCAGCCTTATACATGGATAACCTCACACCTTGACAGATGAAAGATGAAGGCCCAGTGTAGGTGAGGAATTTTAATGGTACATAGGTTGCCTCATCATCAGTCAGAAACAGAACATTGATTCACTCCCCTATTCCACATCATGGGTTAAAGAGAACATTGCCAGGAGGACTTCACTCCTCTAAAAGCGTCATTTTTACCATGATTTGGAGTAAAACAGGCAATGATTAGAAATGTATCCCTCATGATAGGCTCTCAACAGAGTCTACTGTAAGGGCTATGGTTACACAACAGATTTTAAATTCTTTCGTGAAAGTTATGCTTAATAATAGGATTGCTGTAGGTTACTTACTGGCTAAACAGAGAAGTATCTGTGCAGCTGCTGGCACTTGTGGCCTATGGAGAAATACATCACATCAGGTACTACAGAGATTCAGTTGTAGGTAATTAATGAAGAGACTACCTAGTTAAGTGAGTAACTCTTTATTTAGTTCATTCTTTGATCTATTTAATTTCAGGTGGTTTGGTTTATGGGGACCTTGGGTAAGGAGCATACTCCAAACTCTTGATATTATCCTCCTGATAGTCATAATAGTAGTCTACCTGGTGCACTGTATTCTCTCAAAAGTTTTAAATGTTTGCATGCAGCCATCTCTAGAATGTCAAATTGTCTCTTTTCACCTGGAATGACAAGAGTGAAAGAAATGTGTGACCATGAGGGCACTTTAACCTATGAATGATGTGCCAAGACTGGAAACCCAAAATGATGGTAGCTGAGAGTGACACTAAGGCCCTAAGCTTTGGTCACGTTCTCACTTAAGTGAGAATAAAAGGGGATATTTTTAAACAAAATCACAAGAGACCATTGTTTTGGACTTCAATGAAAGTCCAAATGCACTAAGCTCCAACAGATCAGACCAAACCAAAATGAAATCCCTCATGCTAAATGTGACATAATTAAACTAAGACTTTAAGGAAACACATAGATTCTCGAACAGACCAGGTTTTGTTTTTTATCCTATAAACAGAACGTTCCAGCAAAAGGAGATACCCTGTAATCTAACCCTTACAAAAATAAAATAAAATAAACAAATAAACTGAAGTCCTTGTTCCCCCTTACAAAACTCATTGTTCTGCTATTTCCCAGTGGGTTTCAAGACCAAAGAAGTACATTTACAATGGTGATAGTGGCATCAATGACTAAAGTTTTGGTCAATCTCTCAAAATTGAGATGACGACCAAAAAAGCAAAATTGTTAAACCAAGTTTAGCCTACAGCTCTCTCCTTACATATTTTAAGTTTGGCTTAAAGGTTTCTTTGTACATCGTGAACTATAACAAGTGGAGGTGTAAACAGACTGTAGCCCACATTTGTGCCAATCACCAAGTTTTGGCCAATCATATGTAGCCAACTGTTCAAACTGTGTTCAAATAAGGATACACCCAGCTGTAACCAATTGGGTGTTTCTGTACCTCACTTCTGTTTTCTGTATGTCACTTTCCTTTTTTTGTCCATAAATCTTCCACCACATGCCTGCACTGGAGTCTCTGAACCTACTCTGCCTCAGGAGGCTGCTGGATTCACGAATCATTCATTGCTCAATTTGACTCTTTTTTTTTTTTTTTTTTTTTGCGAATACGAGTCCTGCTTGTCACTCAGGCTGGAGTGGGGCATGGCGTGATCTCGGCTCTTAATGCAGGCTCGCCACGTCGGTTCGACCGCCCAAATTACCTCCCTACCTCAGCCCCCCTCCTGAGTAAGAACTGGGACTACAGGCCCCCACACCAACCGCCTGGCCCTACATTTGTTTGGTATTTTAGTCAAAGAGGATGCGGGTTTCAGCGATGTTAGTGCCGGATGATCCTTTGATCCCTGACTCGCTGGGATCACATGCCTCGGCCCTCCCAAAAGGTGCGTGGAATTACATGCCGTCGAGGCCCACCGTGCCGGCCCTGGGCCCATTTGACCTTTTGAAATCTGGAAAGTCAGCTGAAGTTTTTCTTTTTTTCTTTTCTTTTTTTTGGAGATGGAGTCTCACTCTGTCACCCAGTGTGGAGTGCAGTGGCACAATCTCAGCCCATTGCAACCTCTCCCTCCCGGTTCAAGCAATTCTCCTGACTGAGCCTCCCAAGTAGCTGGGACTACAGACACTATGCCTGGCTAATTTTTGTATCTTTAGTAGAGACAAAGAGGTTTCACCATGTTGGCCAGGCTGATCTTGAATTCCTGACCTCAAGTGAACCACCCGCCTTGGCCTCCCAAGGTGCTGGGATTACAGGCGTGAGCCACCGTGTCTGGCCAGATGTTTTTCTTTTAACACTTCTACATGGAAGTGTGAGGATTCAATGAGTAAGTTGAGCACATGGTACATGTTCAGTGAATACTTTCTGATTGTGTTCAGTGTTATCATTATGGGAATGGTGTGAGGGATGTGTAAGTCTTCAGAGACCAGGGAAACAACTGAAATCTCTATGAGTCATCTCTGTCATTGTTTATCCCCATTCCTTTTCTTTTCATTCATTTTGCATTTCTCATTTTCTGTGTTATTCCCTTACATTCCTAAAAACCTTCCCGTTACCTGCTTGCTTCCTGTATTCTGTGTCGTTTCCTACATGTTCACCATTCTGCAGTCTTCTTCCCCTTCATGCAGCAGACCCTGTGTCAAAGTATGCAGAGTTTGTGCAGACGCACAGACCCTCTGGGGAGTATATGTTTGAATTTGATGAAGATGAGCAGTTCTTTGTGCACCTGGACAAGAAGGAGATGGTCTGGCATCTGTCAGAGTTTATTCATGCTGTGAGAGGCAGAAAATGAAGGGACCAGGGATGGAAAGGGAGGGGGGACAGAACACTAAGCTGGCAGTCCTAACCCCACTGTGTTTGCTCTACTCCAGGTGTCAAACTTTCTCAGTCAGAAGTTGACATAAGGAAGTGACCAGCTTCAGGTCTCCTTTGAAGCTCCCAGCCTAGCTTTCTTTTGAATCTCTGCTCTTCAACCACAATGACTTATGTACCCCAAGACCCCTCCACCTCCTGGCTGCCTGTGATCTTCCTGCACCTAGCACTCAGCAAAGGGTCTGATATTTAGATAGCACTCAATCAATATGAAGAATTTAAAGTATAGTGACAAGGTGGTGCCCACACTGGATGGTCTGTATGCTGTGGTCTCATCAGGGACCTTTCTCTGCACCGCATTTTTCCTGAGAAATCCCAGAGTTCAATAAATACCTGTGTATGTCAGAGCTAGACACATCTGATGCCTTTCTGTGACTGCTTATATTCTCAGTTCCCTAGGAATGCAAATCCTGGACCTGTAATTGTAGGATACAGGTGCATTATGGGTGCAGATATCTCAGTTTTGCATCCTGCAAGAGTTAGTCTGGAGATTGTTCACTCCACTCTGGGTACTGCTGACACCTACAGCATGTTTCCAGGGGACAAAAATGGAAGGGGATGACTCTGATTGGATAGTGAGAGGAACACGGGTAGCTCTGAGAAACTGACCAGGGATAGGTACCCAGGGGCACACAAGGCCCAGAAGCTGCTTGTGAGAAGTCAGGGAGAAGGAAGCCAAAACTGGATGTGTCAGAGAGCCACTGAGTGCTCATTATGTGTATCAGGAGTTAAGAATCCATCCTCTACATGAAAAGAAAAGCTTAGACCAAACATGTCTTCTACCTTAATTTACAGTAACGTAATATGAAATGCAAAACACATAACAATTTTGGACTGTAAAAAAAAGATCAGTGTTTGAAAGAGTGCTGCACATATTGCTTTGCACTTTCAACAACGGGGAGGCGTTTCTCTCTGTATGAATTATTAGCTCAGGAGGTCTAGGCTGGTGAATGAATGCAGACTTACAGGATAAATGTCTACTGGATGCATTCAAAAGGCCAAGCAACATTTGGTTAAGGGGTATTTGTGACGGCATTCAGAGAAACTGTTGAAAGTGTGTTAGATTGTATTTATCATTGTAAATTCTGATGCTCATTTAATTTCTTAACAGTAATGCTAATACACGCTCTTAGTAAGTTATATGTCGAATCAGTGCTATGTCAATATGGGTCCTATAACACAGATTTGCAGTCTGCTCACCACTGAATAGCTAAGAATAGTGGCTTCAGACCTGAATGGATGAAGACACAGAACACGATGATGGGGCAGCTCACTGAAATACAGTAAATCCAGGAGAGGTCCATGTCCAACGGTCCACCTTATACAATAGCTTGGATATCCCCATTTTCATGGTTGTCTTCTTTCCTATGTGTAAACCACATTGAACTTCTTTATTAACTCTCACTGTCTGCCAAAACTCTCAAGAAAAAAAGTGTTGAGACATGACTTGGTATATATTCTTAACAGAAAACGATCATGCTGGGTTTTGATTATTGATGGCACTAAGGAGAAAGGAACTTGGCTGGAGGCCCCATGAGAGAAACCATGCATTGAATCCAGGAACAGAATGACAGAAACTGGCTTCAGGGCAACTGCTCAGCAGCAGCATCCTCTTGGGAGGTTGGGGTTCTGTCCTTCAAGCAGATACTGGGACTAAAGAAACAGAAAATGCTTGTTCCAAGGCACATTAGTCTTTTAGGCAAGGTCAAGAACCCAGTGGAGGCAAAAAACAAAGTTATCCCAGGTTGCTGGCCCCCTTCCTTTAAGTCCCAGGAGACAAAAATAATGGTGAGAGGCTGAATCTCACGCTGACAAAGAATAGAGTTGATCTGAGCTTCCTTTAGCAATGGAACCATGCAATGCTCTTTCCCCACTCACCCCAGGGCTGAGGTTGAAACAGGGGTTCAGGCCTGAGACTCTTTTCCTAGAGGAGTCTCGGTGTCACAATGCACAGAAAGGACTTAGGTGCTCCTGTAACTCCCCTAATAAGAAAATCAAAGCAGGAATATTGCCTGTTTATGCAGATCCTTGTTGAACTGAAATGACAGGAGGAAAGAGAATGTATTCAGCTATTGAAACCACCTCAGACAATTAGAGAAACGTTTCCATCACACTTCCATTGCCCATCACTCAATGGACACTCTGCAGGAGGCTGAGTAACTGGGACTTCATGCATCTGGCTGCATTAAGATGCTAGGCTGGGATTCCTCTCTCCTTAGAAGCTGTCTTTGTTCCCTGACTATGTGATTTCAGTAAGCTCTCTGGCAGTGCTTTTTTGTCTCAGCCCCTCATCATGGAAGAAGGGTGAGCAAGTCAGGAGAAAGGCAGGTATCGGTCACCTCACAGGATTTCTCACCTTTCTTGCTCCTTCTGTGTATGAAGATGCCCACTCCACAGATGATGAGCCCCAGCACGAAGCCCGCGACTCCTGTTAGCATCTTGCTCTGGGTAGAATCAGACTGTGTCTCTGTGAAAAACAGGCTCAGGTTGAGTGTCACCTCCAGCAGCTGCACACCTGCTCACGTCCTGTCTGAGATCCTGGAGCCTGATGCAGAATATCGGCACGAGGACAGTGAGGGGGATACACCTTGCATAATAGGAAATTGAGAAACAGTCACTCTTTCAATTCTGGAACAGAGGGTGTGACCTCAACAATAGACAAACGCAGATTCAATTAGTTGCCTTTCAAAATAACTAGAATAAGCTAAAAGGCTGAAGGAAGACAATAGTTCCCATGTGTAAGGTCAGTTCAGGAAGGTGTCTGCGTCCCTAGATTCTTGGACAAGGAGAGGAACTATGAATCCTTAGGACCTCCTAGGCTGGGACAGGCAAGTCTCCATTGCCCCCAGATTAAAACTACACTCAGGGTCTTGTATAGAAGAAAAATGGGGTCGGACATGGCCCCAGGGTATAGACACAGAAGACAAGACGAGTGAACTCCAGAGCCAGAGAGTCCCTGCTCTTCAGAGGTGGGATCTAGAGGGTCATCAGACCCTCACTCCACTCCACCATGACAGGACTGTCCAGGCTGGGGTGCTCCACTTGGCAGGTGTAGACGTCTCCCTGCTGGGGGGTCATTTCCAGCAACACCAGGATCTGGAAGGTCCAGTCTCCATTACAGATGAGGCTAGTGGACACGACCCCAGTTGTCTCCTCCCGTCCATTCAGGAACCATCGGACTTGAATGCTGCCTGGGTGGAAATCTGTCGTGTGACAGACGAGGAGGTTGTGGTGCTGTAGGGGCCCCTTCTTGGAGGGGGCGACGTTCAGCCTCGGCTGGACTAGGAGTGGGGAAGTGGAAAAGTGGAATAACATTTGAGATTATTATTTCTTAGACATGCTTATTATGGAACTGATTTCTAGATGTTGAAAATAGGAATAATGGTTGGGCACAGTGGCTCATGCCTGTAATCCCAGCACTTTGGGAGGCTGAGGCAAGTGGATTACCTGAGGCCGGGAGTTCAAGACCAGCCTGACCAACATGGAGAAACCCTGTCTCTACTAAAAATACAAAGTTAGCTGGGCGTGGTGGTGCATGCCTGTAATCCCAGCTACTCAGGAGGCTGAGGCAGGACAATCGCTTGAACCTGGGAGGTGGAGGTTGCGGTGAGCTGAGATCGTACCATTGCACTCCAGCCTGGACAACAAGAGTGAAACTGTGTCTCAAAAAAAAAAAAAAAAAAAAAAAAAGAAAGGAATGATGTGATTAGGCCAGTGGATACGGGGAGTACTGAGAAATAGAAATAGTATTGAGAAGAATAGGAGGCACATAAACTTACCAGTTTGTAGCACATTTAAAAGAAATCTTGTCTATCAGCCACTGATTAACAGCCTTTGGACAAAGAATATTTAATCAGCAGTGACACTACCTTATCTTTTGAGTGCTCTATCCTGATGTAAAAGATGAAAAATTTGCTCAAATAATTTCTTGAAATTAATATATATATATAAAAACAACATTCTCACGGTCTATTAATCCAATAACTATATTTCATGAATATACCAAGAAAATAAAGTGAGCTTGACATGACTTATTCTGCAAGTAAGCTATGGATTTTCTGGCCTTGCCTACACTCAAAATCCTCCTATTTACATAATATCCTGAGCCCCTACATGCGTAAATGGTAGAAATCCCATCCTTTTCCCTAAGTTCCTCCTCTGCACTGTGTTGTCACATCCATTGAGGTTCTCACAGATAACCAGGTGCTGGCTGTGCCTTGGCACCTCTCTATTTTTGCCCCCTCTTTTTCTGCTGCTTACAGATCAATTTCCATGCTACCACCTGCAGCTTTTCCTTTGGACCTCAGCCGCCAGTACCCTTTTCCTCCACAGAAGGCAGAAAAGGGCCAACTGCCCCTAGAGAACAGCCCAATTACAAGAATGTTCCAAATCAGAGCTTCTAGGTTCTTATTTACTCTGTTCTTGAGAACACAAATACCCTGACGTGGGCCTGTGCCAGGTAAATCAACAGTCTTGAACTAACCCATAACACTTACTCCCTATGGTATTTTTGCCTTATGTCCAGGATTATCCACATTCACAGCCTTTTCCCTCAATGTGATTTTATTTCAGAAGCACTTGGCTCTCACTCTACTTCAACCACCTCCAGAAACTCAACATCCATCAGACTGGTCAACCCATGTCTGAATCCCAACTGTGGATTAAGTGGAACTTCTTCCCCATAGGTGTCCTGGGAAGCATGAAAATCATATGGGTGTCTGTTTTAAGGTCCCAGAACATTCCATGAGAAGCACTTTGCTCCATCTTCTTTGTCAGGAGCTGGTCAGCCTGGAGCACATCAGAGACCTCCAAGGGGTGCTGGAGCTAAGGGTTGATACTCATTGGCCTCATTTCTGACCCAGTTCAAATATATTTCACCAAGGCAAGGATTCCTGTTTGTTCTAGTTGCCTTTGCTCAATTACTTCTAGATTTGGGTGGGCATCCACCCTGGAATGGCCAGGACTTCTATCCTCCTCCTTCCTCCGTCTCCCCTACCCCTTTGTTTTTCTCTCTTCTAATTCATGCCCTTATTATGATTTTCCTGGACAATAGTAGTAGTTTCTTACCTCATCTCTCTGCCTCTGGTTCCTGCTCTCTCCAACTGACTTCACAGTCTTCCGAAAACAGATTTCCAGCCTTGTCATTTTCATTTGAAGATTTCTGAAGATTTAAAAAAATATTCAGTGTTCTGACACTTAATCTGGCTACTGGGAATCACTTGGGAGCTGATTAAAAACATAGATCTCCAGACCTCCCCACCTAGGGAATCTGAATCTCTAGGCAGTGAGTCGGGGGGAATCTTTGCTTCACAGAGGATCTCAAGGAGAATCTTCTGAGCAGCGAGGTTGGGGACCTGCTGGCCTAGAGTGTAGCAGGATGAGCCGCAGACAAAACCTTTCAGACACCGAGTTGTAGAAGGAAGGGCTTTATTCAGCTGGGAGCATCGGCAAGCTACTGCCTTAAAATCCGAGCTCCCAGAGTGCACAGTTTCTGTCCCTTTTAAGGGCTCACAACACTAAAGATTTCACATGAAAGCATCATGATTGATTTGAGCAAGCAAGGGGTACATGACGGATTGCATGCACTGGTGGTCAGAGAGAAACAAAACAGGGCCGGGAGGGAGTTTCACTACGTTCTTTTATACAATGCCTGGAATCTATGAATAATATCGGTTTCTAAGTTATGAATTGATTTTTAACTACTGGGTTTAGGCCAGGCAGGCCCAGGCCTTGTTTTGGACCTGGCACCGGGCTGCCTGTCTTTGGTTTTACGTCCTTATTTTTTTTCTTAAAACAGGTACTGAGTGTAAAACAATATAAAACAGTATGAGGGGGTCTCTCTCTCTCTCCTCAATATGAGAGGGTCTCTCTCCTCAAGAGGAGAAACCCACACTCCTTAGACTGGAATCAGGGGGTCTCTGCAATCTGGCAGCTGATTACCATGAAAGAAAATGCTGCCACGTTGCTGATTTGGGCCTCTATGAAGTCTTAGTGACAGTTTTTGCAAATTTGGACACCTCTCTCAACCAATTACCTCAGCAACTTTCCTAAACCCATGTCACTCCTCATCCTTACTCAATGTGTCCATCTTCTCCCTCTTATTGGATGACATTCCTTCCACTTTCCCAGGAACAGAGGGATCAATGGTGTGACCTCCTGAGGCTCCTCCTCCTCCCCCTTCATTCTTTCCTCTCTCTCTAGGACAAAGGTCCTTGTTTAGTGCAAGGCTCACTAGTGCTTTTTGGTTTCCTTCACAGGATTTCTCTCTTGGCCAAATTAATACAGGGGTGGGTTATTAAAAGATTATTTTTAGGCAGCTAGAAAGGGTAAAAGTTCTTGGTGGAATTTGCCTTTAATAAAAAGCAGCCCAAAACCATTTTTTTCTCTAACAGAAAGCAGCCTGAAAACTCAGGCATAGATATGCAAACTAGAAGCTTTTATATGTAAATGCAAGCAGCTGTACCTGGAAGCCTGGTAATTCAATATGGCGTTCTCACTCTCTTTTCCTTCTATGTTTACAGGTGTCATGGCAGCCTCCAGGTTAAAGCCATGTGCAGGTATCATGGCCACCACCAGGTGGAGGCTGTATTTGTATAATAAAAGACTAGGGTGGGAGGGCCAGTCTTTTTGCTGGTTATGTAAATGGCACACCTGGTCAAACCAATCCCCTGAGCCCTATGTAAATCAATCACTGCCTCCTCAAGCCTTGTACAAAACCAGTTGTGTTCCACTACAAACAGGAGACCCTCTCTTGGGCAACCTGCTTTCTCAGCATTAGGAGGCTTTTTCTCTCACTCTTCTTTTCTATTAAACTTTCCGCTCCTAAACCCACTCCTTGTGTGTGTCCGTGTTGTGAATTCTTTTTTCGGTTATGGCAAAGAACCAGGGTATATACCCCAGACAATGGAGCTGTTTCATTTTGGGAGCTCATCTGGGATCCGAATCAGAATGGAAGATAGAAACATCGGAGCGGTGAGTATGGAGCAAACCTCAAATCTGTTCTTTAATTTCAAGGCTCTCTTCATACCAGTTTTCTTTCATGGATAACTTCACCATCGCATGAGGCTGGGAAAAGTCTTGGGGCAACTGAAAATTTCTGGCCAGGGTACACCCTGGTGTTACTCAAAGGCTTCTGTACTGAACCCAGACTCCGACAGCCTGTCCAGGCGTTGGTAATGGATCTCCAGCTGTTGCAGAATTTTCCTTTCTTTTCTATCTGTGGTCACTATGTCTCCTGTCCTCTCTGTGTGTGCAATTTGCGGGAAGTTTTACAGTTCAGGGAAACAGTCATGTTAGGGAAGATAGGCAAATGCCACAGGCAGTAACTCTTACTCTATCCTGTCTCTGGTGAGCACATGGTATTTCTAAGCCAACACCACCACCTAGAGGAAATAGAAATCCTCTTCATCAGGCACCCTGTCGGTGTTTTATCGTTAACACTGCAGCTTCCAAATTCTTTCTTTCCATACCACTAGAAAAGCCTCTTCTGTGACCGGGAAAGCTCTGTCTTCAACAGTTAGGAGTAAAATGTCCTCTGCAGTGAAATTTTAGTTCTGATACTGTCCCATCGGCAGGAAAAACTGCCATTAGGTTCCCATGTTCATTTCTGTCTCCAGTTAGGACAGTACTTAATTAGCAAGGGGATTTTAGGTTCGGAAGTTAACCAGAGCCATTTTGCTAAGGTAAATGTTTTAGATGGTCTGTAATGGTAGGCAATGTAGCACACTGCCTCCATTAAAGGAGCCTACCCAAAGATGACATAGTCTCTCTGGAGATCCATTTTTTGGGGAGCCACACAGATCACACAAATTTAAGATGTCAAAGGGGATCACACAAGGTGATTAAGCTAAGGTTGTGTGGGTAAAGCATGATTAATCCCATCACTTAGCTTATCCAGTTCCATGGCTTGGAGGACCATGTATACAACCATGGGTGGCACATTTAATGCATTGCCAGGACCCAGGAACCAAGGAGAAAATACAGTAGGGAGGACACTTCCACTGTCTTCCCCTCCACCCTGGGTCACAATGAAAGAATGGGGACTGAAATGACACTTTTATTCTCACTTCTTTTTCTAGATAGGTGACAGACTAGCTTCAGCTTGCACCCCTCTGGAGTTCACTCTGAAACACTGGAACTCCTTTAACCTCAGGACTTTGAATGGAAAAGTGACTCATTTTCTTTTGCACAAGGGCATGGCATTTTTACGAAACCTTTGCAAGCATTGTAAGATCAGCCCAGCTTTTTAAATAGGTATATCAGATGGGCCTATAGAAAAGAA